ATCCACTAAACTTTAATGAATTTAAAAATTCAATAGAGTATAGATTCTCTTGAGTTGAATCATACATTTCTGAATTTTGGTCCAAAGTATCTGCACTATAATAAGATTTTTCTTCTCCTAGAAATTGTGCAAGAATTCAGCATTAAGTGCATCAGCATCAATATTACATGGAGTAAGAAGGCTTCTTTTTGTCAAATATATAAAATCTTAAGTATTCTTTTGTAAGTTGGGATATACAAATTTAATTAAATCTTGATATGTTTTGGATTGAAGAACAATATTAGATAATAAATTTATATAATTGCTGTTAGGTTGAACTTCTGAAATATGTCCTTCACCAATCTTAAGTAACCAATTAGCAAATTTTGTTTGAGTCATTGTATCAGAAATATCAGATATCTTGTGTAAACGCATATTGATTGTTAATTTTCTTATTTTATATATTGCCACAAATAAGATTGACAAAGACAAGCATTAACAATATTTTCTCATTCACCATTTAGAATAACAGGAAGAATCTGTCTAAAATCTTCACCTAAAATTACAACCTTTTCACCAAATGGTTTATTCTCTAATTGTGGATCAATTGTACTCATTATGTCACAAAGAGTTCGATCAAGAGCTTCAAAGACATGACGATGTAGCATAGGTGCTTCATCCCAAATAATTAAAACAGTTTGTCTTAGAAGTTCTGCCAATTCTGATTGTGTTGATATGTTGCATGTAGAATTTTCATTTAATTCAATTAGAATTTTGAAATAGGAATGTGCTGTTCTACCACCATCAAGTAACAATGCTGAAATTCCAGAGGAGGTAACAGCAAGAGCAATTTTTTTTTCTGAGCATACTTTTGCCAATAAAATTGTATAAAGAAATGTTTTGCCAGTTCCTGCTGGTTCATTAACAAAAAAGCAAGCAGAATTATTTTGTTCGATTACTTTAATAATTTTATAATTATATTTTGTTGATCTTTATTAAGTCATGAAATATTCTGATTAAAAAATTCATTAATTTTGGATTGACTATAATTTAGTTCCTCATATAGCAAGTGGTTTGTAAGATTATATGTGGTATTAAGAATTGGCATATTAGGAAATCTTTTAACATTTTGCATTGTTGCATAAGTATATTTTCTAATTTATGTAAGGCATAATTTTTAATATTTTGTTGAGCAAATTAAAAATTTGAATTTTGTAGTTCTTGTTATACTTGATATAATATATCATCACTTAAATTATGTTTATATTTTTTCCAGAGTCATTCAGGTTGAGTTGGACAACAGTTTATTAAAATTATAGCAAACAGTTGTCGCAGTTGATGTCCTGACTGTATCGCTGATGCTTCTTCAAGACATTGATCCCATTCCATATCATTCTGTAGAAGGCCAAATGCTTGACATGCGCTTTTGAAAGTTGGATAAATCACTTCATTTACAGTACACAGATGTTCAAAAGACTGTGTGCCATATACAACATTAAGTAACATATGTAAATAATAATACTCTCTGGCTCCAGGATGTACAAAATATATTCAATCAATTGTATAACCGCGAACACGTGGTTTCTATTTTTTTATACACTTGTCAAAGACAAAATTGTAGAGAAATTGTATATATGTCAGTTCTTTTGTCAATTGATACAGATTTGAATCACAATTTGTATCAAAACATGCTGTTAAAGTAGTTCTCTGGTTTTGTGCTTGTTGAACAACAATATCAAGAGATTTGTTATCAGAAAATGTGACTAAATATTGACCGGAAAGATGTACAACCAAACATATAACATTTGGAGTTTCATCATGCATTTTATAATGCATAATACGCCATACTGATTCTAATGCTGATATATAGCAGACATCAATATACTGGCAAATTTCATCTATTACTTCTGATGTATCTCTATTGCTATTGAGTATTGTAGTTGCACAGTCATGTCCTTTATAGACATATTTAAATAAATACTTAATTGCTTGTATCGAAGAACATATTTCAACATTGATGTGGCAATTAAATTTCTTACAAAGATACAAATTATGTGGCATGACCCAGCGATTATCAAGCTGAACGTCTTTTACCTCAACTGTATGACCATTATTACACCGATGATATATAGGATAGGAATCCTCATTCTGAATAGTTACTGGTTGAAAAGTTTTTGGATATCCTTCTGAACATTTTTTTTTTTGCATGCAGGGTGCATGCATATTATATATTCCGCAAGGCCCATGTATCATACATTTCATTACAGTTACATATTCATCTGGATATATGCGAGGATTTGGTATTTCTGCTAATATAATATGATTATAGTCTTCTGTTGTATGTGGCTTATAATTAGGAGACAATATAATCAACATATGTACATAAAGAAGACTACGCATTTGTGACTCAATAATATAAATATATGCTAATAGTTTGTCAAAAATACCATTCTGGGAAATATCTTTAAGCAAAGCTTATAATTTAATATGAAATACACGAACACAAATATCAGGTCGATCTTGTGGCTGCTGTCCAGGTAATATGGCTATTAAAATTTCTGGCCAGTTTGAATTGCACATCATTATAATAAAGAGATCTGGTTTACCCATTTGCCTAACGATAATAATTGCATTCTAATACAGTTGCTGCATATGGCGTGGTCCACCAATAAAGCTGGATAGAAGTACAATTCGATAACCAATACGTGATCCATTTTGAGGCAGCTCATCATGAACAAAGAGGGCATTTTGTAATCCACTATACAATTCAGCACGAATTTGTTTTTGATTATATTTTAAGTAATTAAGCCGGTTCTGCTTAATACAGACATATGCATCAACTATATATTGTTGAAAAAGACGACCACTTCTATGCAACACAAATGATTCCAGTTGTCTTATTTGTAAACGATAAGAATAGTATTGTATCATTGTAATGCGACGTAATTTAGTGTCTTCATCTTGAAAATTTTCATTTTCAATATCATTACTATTTACTTGTGCTGTATTGCATATAGGAATATTAGAATACCATCCAGGTTCTTTATATGGAAACAGCAGCACATAATGTAATGGACTATAGAACTGGTGGGTTTATGAAATGCATTGCAAACCATCACCCTGTATGCGAAGCATAATATCTCGATTAGATAGTTCAAATTCTTGACCATCTCCTACTATAAGAATAGCAATTTCTGATGCAACAGGTACAGTATATTGTTGTTCACTGCGTGCCTTTATTATAACTAAATTTAAGTCTGAAGTGAAATTTTCTTGCAAAATGTGTGCTGCTTGTTGGAATACATGAACATATGAATTGACTTCATTAGGCATTGCTTGAAGCTGCTCGAGTGTAATTGGATCTAGATCTGGCATTATGTGCTGTTTATTAATTAGTTGTTCGTCAGTATCATAATTATAAATCTGGGAAAATGCAGATCTCGCACCATTATCTGGTAATAGTGAACCTATCTAATGATACATTTTACCTTGAATACAAAAACTGTAAACCCCCATGTTTCAACTACATGTTTATCGATTTTGGCATCCATTGAGGTAAATGCTAATATTGAATTATATTTCGAATATTTCTTCAGAACTCATGTGATCAACTATCTTCGTCTATGAGAAGATTAAGTAGAGGCACAGGTGACTGACCAATAGGTGGCAACTTCATCTTACCTTTTATACAGCACATACCAAAAATAGGAGCACGTATACTTCTAGCCATCTTTTCTTTTATCCAGTGTAGTACTTGACATTGTAAACACTCTACATTCATTTCTCCCAGCTTGTAACAAATGACAGTACCTGTATCATATTCCTGCATACGGGCAGCATTAGATGCAAAGGTATTAGTCTGTCTTTATTGAACATAATACCTATAAGCTTCATATTGAGTTATTCATCGCCGTTCAGCATGTTCTTCTGTTTCAGCCTCAGTACGGCATCTATATTTTTCACGTTGCTGAGTACATTGCTGCTCAAGTTGCTCAACTGTAAGTGTTAATCTTTGGCATGTACGTGCATTTCTGGAAAGGCAGTTTCGATGCTCTCTTGGTGTCTCTGATGTTTGTATTACATTCATCTGAAAGCAAATGATTTGTTCGAAGAAAAAGACTATGTATTAGAGGTTATTTGATATTTGTGTCTATTAACTTGTTCATGTATAACATTATTTTTAACTTTTTTAATTAGTCTGTTCATATACAGTATAATGTCATTTTTAACTTTTTTAATAAGATTAATGCAAAACTTTATATGAAACTTTATTATTATTAAAGAAATAGAATGGCCAAATGAATTTTTTTGAGTTTGAAAATCAATTCGCCGGAATTCAAGATAATTATTTAGTCCAGTATTAATAGTTAAACGTATAAATATCATATATAATAATTTATTAATACGTGTAATTTTATTGTTTATTAAAGGCCTAATGATCATTTAATTTTTATTGGTTGATATAATTAATATTGTTTAATACATAAATTTTGATTTGGCGAGCAATTAGCTGATTTTAACTATTTATATTGTACTGTAGACTATTTTTCGTTACGTGTTGACATGATAGTGTATACAAATCTACTAATCAAATTAATTTCATTGATTTCGCCGATTTAAAAAAACTGGAGTCTAAATGTGATGTGGTCGAAATTAATATATATGCAAGCAAGCAAGTTGAAGTGAAATTTGTATATAGTAAAAAAAAAATATACATAGTATACATGAGGCGTAAGCTAGTAAAGTATAAACATATGCAGCGGGAGTCGAAGTGTGGATTTGTATAGAGATAATAGAATATAAATATATGCAGCGTGAGTCGAAGTGCGAATTTGTATTATAGAATTTTAAATTTATTAACAATGAAATAAAAAATAGGAAAGTTGATTGGCTAAAGTTGTTTTTGATCCATTCTGGACCTAGAAGAAGTTTTACATGGAATTTATTCTTCAGGTCTTTAATGAGGTTGTCTGTCTCCTCTTGCGTGTTGACTGGAAGAAGGATGAAGTTGATTTCACTATATCAATATAAAGGAGAAAGTGGCCACTTTACTCTGATATAGTCTAGAGGAAGATGTTTAACTGCATAATTATTTTCTCTTAGGAGCTGAACTCCTTTTTTGAAGTCTTCTATGGTATTAACAACTAGAAAGTGTTTGACTAGATTGAATGGCAGATTCTTATATAAAGGGGAAAGATGTAGCTTTGGTGGAGGAAGATCAAAGTAGGACTTTAATAGTTTATTGGAGATATAGTAATGTTCTCTAAGTTTGTTAACACAGAATTTGAGATATGCAAGTTCATATCTCTTTATCAGAGAAAACCAGTTAACAAATTTTGATAAAAGGTCTTCAGATTTGTCAGGTAAGTCAAGTTTTTGTAAAAAAGCCCTAAGGCTGCCTCCAACCTCACTTGTATTATTTCTTGAAATAATTATTTATTTATTTAAAATTGTAAACAAACAGTAAATACATAATATTTTATGAATATATTAATTATAATCATTGCATCTAATATTTTATTCTACCTTAGATAAAAATTAATATCATATATTAAACTATTTTAAGCTAATAGTATCTGATTTACAACTCTAATATATTTAATTATATATAGCCTTAATAGTTTATTTATTAAATAAAAATTATATAAAGAATAAAAATTTTATTACTAGTTTAAGTTACTTAATCTGCTAATTTTAATCTTAACTATACCTGTTATAAAGAAATATATTATAGAATATCATTATAAATATCAATTCAATTATTTCAATTGCTTTTTATTATTGGTTTTTATTAGTAAAAATAGTAATATAAATAGGATTGGTACAGATTATGTAATATGACATGATGATATATCAGTTTATATATTAATATAAAGAGAAAAGTTTAGAAATTTTATAAAAAATTTGTATAATGTGATGTGTTACAAGTAATATAAATATAAATAAAACTATATAATAGAAATATTAGAAATTATATTAAAAATAATCAAACTTGTATTTGCATAATAATAATTAATAAATTTTATCTTACTGAAATACTTGTCACCTAAAGAATTCAATAAAAAACCAATATAAAATTTATTAATAAAAGGATTGAACTATAGAGACAAGCAGAATAAAAAAAAGTTAGAGAATTGTTATACCTTTAATATTGCAAGTAACATAATTCATCTATTTAAAAAATAATATGCCTAATTCTGAAATAAAGACAAATTTATTAATAGTAATAACACTAGTATTATATGTTATATCTTTTTTTATTATTTGTAATCATAATATTCTTGATTGAAATTTTATTTTAAATCTATAATAATTCATATTAAGTATATTTAATTTAACAATTTTTATTTAATTTTTTATTTTTTATTTATATATTAAACTTAAAAATATTATAGTTAAAATATTTTAAATTTTTTTTAAAATTTATTAAATTAATTTTAATTGGATTGTTAAAATTATATTTTTTAAAATTAAAATAGATATTTTTTAATACTATCTTTTAATAATATATTTTTTTAATTTTATAATTGTTTGAAAGTCAAAAATTTTATTTATTATTATTTTTTTTTTTTAATCGCAAACAGGCATTAAATGCGAGACTTTATTTAAACAATGAGTTTATTGTCATTACATTAATAATCTTTGTAAAAGAAATAAATACAAATTAATTATAGCCTATTGCAACTTAAACTAGCTATACAAATTTTCACCAAGTAGGTGGATTTATATAGGTAGTGCTGAATGGCTAATGCCCGTTCAGAACAATGAGACTATTGCTAGAGTAAATATTTGTTTGTTAGTGAGATTGTTTGAATTTTGTAGAATGTTAAGAACTTTTATGAATGATGAATTATTATTGTTTGTTTAGTTTTGGCTGTTGCTAGAGGTGACGCTTGGAGTTTTTCTCCATGTGATTCCTGAGGATAGTGAAGTTGTTGAGGTCGCAGATCGTTGTTTCCACACTTTATAAAGAATTTTCAAAGCGTAGTTGGAGATTTCTTCTCTTTTTTTTTTAATGTGATTGAGATGAGGCTGATAGTTACATGTGGCGAGATGAATTAAATCCTGACTTGATGGATTGAATATGTTCTTTGGGTTTGTTGTTGTTAAGTTTTTATTGTCCAATTCAAGAATGAGTTTTTGTAATTTGGGCTTTTTTTTGTTTATAAGGGAGTGATTGTGTATACAAGAGAAGACATGGGGGATGTCCTCAGTGAATGCTTCGCATCTGGGGCAGAGATTGTTGGTATATAGACTGGAATATCTTTTGTTTAGTTATGATCTGGTAGGGAGCTGATTGGCTATTATTTTGGTTCTAAAGGTAGATAAGGCTCTGTACTTAAATTGATCGATTTTTTTGAGTTTTTTGTTAGCTTTGATGATGGTTTCAAGATCAGAAAGTGTTGAAGGCCGGAAGCATGAGGTTTGGCTTAGCAGAGTGTCAAATAGGTTTGTGTAGAAGTTGACAAACTTTATCCAGTGAACTATGCTGGTAGCATGCTTGTTGTTTATTAGAGAAGATGTTGTGTGTATTGGAAAAGAAATTAGTGGAGGTATTGTTGTTGTTAATGTGGTATTGTATGATGGGGACTGTTCATCCTTGATTTTGAGCCAGTGTATGACCAGATTTTTTGATTTGGTGATGTCGTTAAAGTTGCTAATAAAGTGGCTGTATGGGGTTTTAATTCGCCTGTTTATATAATTAGGCATTGATAAGTCAGGTATAGTGTTTAAATGTATTTTGATGGTGGATAATTGAGAGACGTTATCTATAACTTGATAAAGTATCAGCCAGAAGGCAGACCAGAAATTTGTGTTTGTTGTGTAGTGTATTGTGAAGTTAGGATTTAGAACAACCAGATCATTATTGTTAATAGAGAAGATATGTGTGGTAGTGTGTAGGTTGTGTTGAACATTGGGGGTAATGATGACTTGTAGAGTTGCTTGCGGATGAGAGTGAAAGGAGTCCTTGAGTTCATTTAGGTTGTTGAGGATGTGAGGGGTGTTAAGTCATAAAATGGATCATATTGACTTGAGATTTTCGATGTTTTTTTCTTTGAGGCATGGTTGAGTAGGACATGAACATTTGTGAATTCTTTTTTGGTCGTCGATTATATAGTGTTGGCCTTTATTGTATTTGCTAGAAGTGCGTTTGTTCTGGTTATGATTAAATTAATAGTTTAGTTGTTCAGGTAGGCCCAGAATTTTCTTTTTGGATTAGGAAGAAAGATGGTATTTCTAATTATGGCATTGGATTGGACTGGAATGTTGGTAAATCATGATGGAATGGGTCCTGGGATTATAAAGCCTCTATGGGTGTGTAGCTCGTCCCAAGAGAGCTTGTAGTCTTTGTTAAAAGCATATGTAGTTTGGTT